TTTTGTTGTTTTTCAATGTCTGTTTCCTCAGCAATTTTCATGGCTTTGTTGTCTTCCCCAAACTCCGCAGTCACCCCCCTTTCAGTGATCACCGGAACCTCATCACATCCCCTATCATGAATGCAACCATCTTCACAGGGGTTTCTTCCAAGAACATGTTGCAAGGGGGAAAACCCAAGGTACTGATCCCTAGAGTTCTGCGCCCAAAGCGATCGACAAAACACCTCACGACGCGACATCTCCGGACACTCTGACGCGAGTTTCGACATCATGTTTTTCGTGGTTTGGATCGCTCGTTCAACGTGGGGAATCTTCCAGTGAGCTTCGGCAGGAATCTGTTCATTGAGGATCTTTTGTTTCAAAAGGTATTGATCAAGGTTCTCACTCCTGAAAGGGCCAGCGGGGTCCATTCGCACACAAGCGGGGTTTCCAAAAACAGGCTTCCAATACTCTTCCAAAAAGGTAACCAAGTCTTCACCTGACATGCTGATTTTCTTGCCGGGTTTCAGAATCATTCCTCTTCTAAACCGGCTTCCGTCATCAATCCCCAAAAGAAAGTGGAAGTTCCCTTTGGTTTCCGGATGGCACCATGATCCCCCACCCACCTGGATACGAGCCCATTTGGGGGGAATATCTTCCAGGGAACCTTGAACTCTTGGTTTTGAGGTGGCATGTTCTTCGCAGCTCGAACATCGGAAGTGTTTCGCAAGTTCCAAGGTTTCTTTGTCCGCATTCCTCCTTTTGAGGGCTTTCACTAAATATTCCCTACTGCAATGTCCCGTAGCGGCATGGATTCGACGACCGACGTTTTCCGATCCGGCGACATGGAAAAAGCTTCTTCAACCCCTTCATGGTCATGCATGTTCATGTCCCCAAAAAGGTTCATCCCATCCTTGAGTTCCTGAGTGACATGTTTACAAAGGTCTTCACGTTTCATGACAGTCACAACTCTGTTACAAAAGGTGGGGGTATAAAAGGCAGTTTGACGGCATCTCTTTTTGTCCTTCACACTTTCCATGAACATGATTTCCACTACATTTGAGGGTCATGTGGTGTATGATTCCCTTCGCCGTCCCCAGCAACTTCCAACGTTTCCCGAGGAGCTCCCGTTGTTCATTCCGGAGTCCAACTTGGCATCCTTTGCAGACCCCTGACACACAAGGAACCCTGTCATGCAAAATGGAAAATAGGGCTTCACTCCATCCTTCACATCGTTCAGAGAGTTCAATGATGAAGGGGATATTCTCTTTGTAGGCTTCCTCAGCAATTTCGCAGCACCCTTTGTACTGCTGACGCGCGCGTGCACGTTTTTCCGCAAGGTCTTGGTGTTGTTTTTCAGTTTTCATATTGAGGTGTTGCATGGGAGAATATGGTCCGCACTCTGGTGACAACCACACAAGACCAGGCCTAGTCTCCTTCATCACACGAATGATATGCTGAGCGCCGGCCTTTGTTTCTACATCTCCTCCATTGTAGGCGGAGAGTCGTCGTGCGCTCCCGTCGCCAAACACTCTGCTACATGCGTTGGAGAGTTCACTTTCGGGGTCACAGCGCACTTCTAAAACAACCTCAACCTATCCCCATAGGCAACCTGACACCAGTCACCCTCAAAACCATGAGAAAGGCCGAACAAGATGTCCTTCTTGTGTTGTTCCCCCAAATCATGAATCGCTCCCTCATATTCAGAGGTCAGATGTGCTCGAGACTGATTCTCTCTCACTCGCCGGACTCCGTCTCCTGTCCCTTCCTGCGAGTCTTGGCCAGCTCGTCGTCCTTCTTGGATGAGCTCTTGCTGACCATCGCCTTCTGACGTTGGAGTTCGTGGATCTGAGCCTCGATCTGTTCCACCATTTCGTCCGCCTCCCGTTCTGATGATCGGTGTCCATGGGGATCTTGACGAACGTCCCGTCGGTGGAGCTGGAGAATGAGGGCTCTTCGACGCGGCGAGGGCTGTTCCCCCACTGCTCGTGTTCATGTACCCCTTCTTCACGCTGGTTGATTTCTCCACATCCTTCTTCTGGTCCACCCACTTGAGGTAGCGGGTCATCTGCCAGCGTGTGGTCTCCTCGAGGGATGTTTGGCGGCGCCGCCCGGTGTAATCTGGGTGTTGTTCCTGTACTTCTTGGTAGGTCAGAGGGGCAAACTTCCCGAACCCCTTCACGTCGGTCGCCAGCGGGGGCTTTTTCTCCATGATGGCCTGGTTTCCCAGGGAGAGGAGTCGACTGATGGTTTCGTTGCCCGTGATCGTGATCCCCAGTTTCTGAGTCAGGAACACTTGCAAATCGTGTTTCTTCTTGGCGGCGTTGTTCATTTCCTTCAGAAGGTCGTCGTGGACTTTGGCTTCGGGATTTTGATCCTTGAGCTCCACCAGACCAGCTTCCAGCTGATTCTTGCGCCATGATTCGGGAGGTGTCTCTCCGAACTCCATGATCTTCTGGCGAAGGACCTCTTTGGTCATGCCAGGCATCTTGACACGAGGTGAGGGATGTCACACTGGCGTTCAGACTTTGAGAGAGGTTCAAATCTGCGGTCGGCGTGAGTGTACTCTGACGATACGAATCCAGGGGTTGTTGATGAGGCCTCGTTTGCTTGACAGGTGGCGTCACGTTTCCGGGTTGGTCCTGAATGACATCAACAGCAAACACTGAGGATTGAAAGTGGCACTTACTTGATCTGACTACTTGTCCCTCCCAAGGCTGGTCAGCTGTTCCATTTTGCCTTGGAAGGAGTTGTCCCTATTCGGATCACGTGACTCAAGCAAGCCATGGAAGGGCTTTTCCCTACTGTGGCTATCCCTATACACATCGGAGGTCAGTGGAAAAACCTGATGGCCACTTGAGCTGAGTTTTTTTTGGAATGAAGAGATTTATATGAATGTTAACCTGAGCATCCCTTGCGTAGGCCATTCTGCTTGGGGGCGTAGGTGGGCGTAGGCATTTTCAGGTGATTTGATCTGGCGTAGGCTCTTGTGTAGTCTTCTGTTGACTGAGTCTTTGTTTTTTAAATTAGATTCACTGCAGCTGGTGGTTGGGGAAGAGTTCTTCAAAACCTTGGTGGGTCACATTCTTTTGAACCAGAAAGGCCCTTGGGTTCGGCATGTTGCAATAATGGTTGGTCAGCGAACACGATTTTTTCATGTTGCCGCCTATGTAATTCTTTTTCAGGTCAGGCTTCCTTCATGTACACCCGGTCGAAATAGCATGGAGCATGACTCTGAATGCACATAGCACGCAAGGGAAGATATATACATATATAGTAGTATATTACGAGATGTCACTACACAGTGGGTACAAGACACCATTGACAAACTGTAGCCTCCACCATGTCGATGCCCAAAGCTCCTGCCTTTTGTGGTGTACGGGGCTGCGCCGGCTCTTTGACAGAGAAGCACGTCTCGGGGTTTTGCGTGCTTGTGTGCGAGCTGGCAGCGCATCACCGGGCTTGGCTGGTGGAAGTTGACAAGTCATCCTTTGAGTGGGAATTCTGCACAGGGGGTCGAGGACATCTAAAAGGCAAACCGGTTGACAGAGTGCTTTGGCCTTAGAGTAGTCCATTGTCCTTCTTTTTTTTCTCCCAAAAAGGTGGCACAAGATTGTCCCATGCTGACTACAATCCTCATGCAAGGTACCCGACAAGCCTGCAGTAGGAGAAGGGCAAGGGTCACAAGCGGCAAGTGGTACCGCATGTGCGGGATCTTCGCAGGGTGTCTTGGACGTCGCTGATGGTGCTGAGATTGCAGAGCCGACCAATGCCAGCAAAATGGCAATTCGATCAAACTGCAGAAAGACTTTCTTTGATTACTTTGCCCGGAAGCGCCGTTTTTTTACATGTTTTTTAGCACCCACGAAAAGAACTTGTTGAAATCCATGACAGCTTTTCCCAGGTACCGGACGATTCTTTACAGAAAGGTGCTCCATCATCACCAGACAAGGGAGAAGTGGGTCGACCTGACCAACTCAGTGGCTCGACGAAAGCATCCGGAGATACCACTTTCCAAGCAAAGCAGAAGCGGAAGGAGCCTGAGCCGACACCTCAAGTTGAAACTCCGAAGAAAAACTTGCTGCAACAGAAGCGCGATGCAGAAGCACCAGATGCCAAAAAGAAGAAACCATCTCAAACCAAAGCGCACGGGGAAGCAGATGTGTACGATAGCCCTGAGAAGGACTTTCCACTAAGTAACCAGAAACGATCTGAGTGTGAATTTTGCGGGCGCGCTAGATGCAGTCGGCAAGTAGGAGCTGCCTGCCCATTTTGTAAGCTTGCCTTGCGTCATGAGCAGGGGCATCAACGATTGGATGTTTTGCGGGATGATCCAGCCTTGGCGGACAAAGTCCGGCGAGCATCGCTGGAGCTGCAGAAAGCTGATGAGAAACCCAAGCCGTCAGATTCTGTGGACACTCGTCTGACTCGAATGGAGTCAATGATGGAAAAGCTTATGGAGCATTTTGGTTTGTCATGATTGCAAATAGACTGATGCACCAGTCATTGGCCATAGGGGGTTGATTGCTTGGGATGAGAAAAGGGGGGGCAAGTCCGGGGGCACGCGTGTTGGGTGACGTGATCCATCCTACGCACTCCTTGGCTTGAAGCCTTTTTCGTTTCAAGCTCAAAGGCACGAAGTTCATGTTTTATATGGAACCTTTGGTTTTAGAAGGTTTGGTTGAAACTCCCGCGTAGGCCTGGCGTAGGCCTGGCGTAAGCAAGGCGTAGGCGTGACTGCCGTTTCTAGACCCCTAGCCCACAGGGATGTGTTAGCTTTTCTTTTTAGAAGCTGGTAGGGCATAGTTTTGTACTAGTCTTTCGTCCCCGCTTCGCGGTCCACGCTATGGCGCAAACATGGAAAGACTACACGGCTCCCTACAGGTCTAGGGTAACGCGAGGCCTGGCTGATTCCATCATGAGCAAGTCCAGCGACGCGCATGAGGTTGTCTCCATCCTGTCTGCTGTCATCAAGGTCATTGATCGAGAAACTTCGCTCTCCACCCAAGACATCGTTTCAGGTCTACAGGCTAAGGTGGCATCTCCTGATAGCATCGCAGAGGAGCAGGCCAAGAAACTCCTGGACAACTTGGGGCGTCTGCGGGAAACAGCTGGCTCTCACCACATGGCAGTCAGACGCATTTACAACGTCTTTCTGCCAATGATTTGGATTTCGCTGTAGTGCGCAGTGGTTTGAACCTGCAGGTGCTCCAACAGAGTGGGTACAAGATAGCCAAAACTCTCTTCAACAAGGTTCAGCAGCTCCAAGGAGTTATCAGTGGGAGTGATGTAAAGCATGTTGGCCGCAAATCCAAAGTAAACAATGACAAGGTCATCGCTGCCGTACAACGCATTGTGGAGAAATATGCCAATGATTCCAGTAAAGTGGTTGTAGTCCGTAAAAATGGCCTCAAGCAGCTGGTATGCGCCCGGCTCCTGAGCAAGAAGTTGGGTCGCATCTGGAAAGAGGAGCCGGAGCTTCGTAAGGAGGTGGGTATCACAGCCTTGCGCACCATCATGCGGGTGCATCTGCCTTCGTACCGCAAGCCTGGACGAAAGACAGACGTTTGCGGACACTGTCGTGTGTACAAGCGGCATATCATCCCTCGAGCCCAGAAAGAATACCAGAAGCGCAGGGCACAGTTGACAAGCATCGCGCCCAACTACTTTGAATCCTTCGACTCAGACAAGCAGGTCGTGCAACTGCAGGAGTCCGCTCAAACCAGTGAGGTCATTACGCGGGCTTACCGGTACATTGGTGCCAGGAACGCCAAGAGTGAGAACGATCCTGATCGCCAGGGATTGTCCCGCACTTCCCGGTTAGAGTTGCACCAAACTGAAGCCAGAGCCTGTCACAAGCTCAAAGGACACATAGAGCTCTTGGAGGCATACTCCTGGCACAAATTATCAGCAGACAGACAACGAGAATTTTCCACAGCCTTGCTGGACAAACTTCCTAACACAGAGGCCTATATGCACTTCGACTTCAAGGAGAACGTGCGGTACCCCATGGCCAAAGAAGAGACAGGGCAAGAGTTCCACGCCCAAAACAAGTTGTCTCTCACTGTGTTTGGATGCACTGTTCACAGTCCAGGGCGCAAGAATTTCAACTTCTTGCTTGTATCTGAAGTGCTGGACCACGACAGTCAGATGGCCCGGCTCCTTCTCTCCAGAGTTCTTGCGGTCGTGCAAGGCAAGCCGGAGTACCAGTGGTCCAAGGTACAGCGTCTGCATTTAGTATGTGACTGTGGCCCCCACTTCCGCAGCCGGGAGTCGTATGCCTTCTACTTGCATGATTTACCTAAAGAGCTTCAAGTGCCTGCACGTCGGTCGCATTTAGCTACGAAAAAGTACATTTTCTTACTTTACCTTTGCGCTTGCTAGTGAACCTCTGTTGTCGCTAATGTACTTCATCGGAGTCTATCTCAGGTAACAGTGCATTTCCAAGGGGAGCAGCGCGGCAAGGGGCCGGTAGACCGACTCTTTGGATGGGGGGGTGCTTGGATAGAGGATTTCTCGCAGAAGCAACCCATTCATGGTCTTCGCGATTTGGTGCAATGCTACCGTTCAGGGGCCCAATATATGGTGAACTCCGACCCTACAGGGCCAAAATTCCATATTGAAGCCTTTGACCCTGGAGAGCTTCGACCTGAGACTCGTACCTTTTTCCAATGCCCCGGCTTCTTGACTGTTTGCGCACTGATTTCGTCCCAGGATACGCTCATGGCATCCGCTTAAAGAACAAACTGTTCAGCGACTCTGAGGGGGGCTGTGCTCCATGGCTGGTTTATAGGGACTAGAAACCAAGCAGCGCCTGCAGATGAAGAGCCGGACATTGCCGACAACAATGCAGATGGAGACGACTCGGCGCCAGATCCCAAGAAATGGCGTCGTGGCTTCTGGAACTCTGAGAAGACATGGGAAGGTTCTGGCCCAAAGCCCGGCCAAATCAATGAAATTGTAAGGCGGCATGGATCCCAGAAGTCTGCCCCGCCTCCTGTATTGCGGCCTTTCCGCTCAGAAGTTGAGAAGGCTTTGTCTGCTGCCGCTCTCCGGCTGCGTAATGCTGCCGCCAAAAAGCGTCGCCAGACAGCTTGCCTAAGGCAGGCTGCTAGCGATAGCTCCAGTAGTTCCGACGCGTCTAATTCCTCTGACTCTGACTCATCTGCATCTTGAAAAGTCCCGCAGGTTATCTGAAACCCAATGGCAGCGTAGGCGCGCAGAACGTTGTAAGCAAAAACCCCACGCGCGTAGCCTCGGCGCAGGCAACTTTGTTTTCCCCTTGTCCAGCGTAGGCTCCCATTGTGGTGGCGTAGGCCATAGTAGGGTCATGGCGTAGGCAACTACAAATGATAACACCTCACATAATAAAAAGAAACCCTGCTCACTTGGGGTTGTTTCCAACGACAGCGCGCGGTGTGGGTCAACGCGTTTCAACAACATCTGGATTCTTCTCATAGTCAATCACAGCTGCACGGCTTCGCAGTGAAGCGATGCTCAAGAGAATGGGCTGATTGGGGATGTCATGTACATGCACCTTCATGGTACTCATTCCTCCATGCAGCGGAACTGGCAGCTGGGCGGTGGACAGGCAGACTGTCCGGCCGTTGTTCCCAAATCGAAAGCTCGGCCGTTCCGAGGGATCAACATGGATGTCACGGCTCCTCCCTTGTTCCGCATTGATGTCGTTGATGTGGGTCAAAGCATCCACACTGCCCACTGTAGAAGTGGCTCCAGGACTCCAGGATCGATGATAGCTTTGCCTGCCTCCAGAAGCGAACCCATCGCTAAGTTGGCAGACTCTTCAAAATCTCCTGATGTGTCTTGTGATGGTGTAGCCATTGACTCCATTGTATCACCTGAAGCGGTGGCAGTGAAGGTGAAATGCACTGCTTGTCGACTGCCTTGTTGTTCTTCACGTTTGGGACAGGCGTCTGTCCGGTGGGTACCTCCGCATCGGTCCGATCTGAGGTCACTTTCTGATTTCCATTTGACAGTGCTCTCCCGCTTCATGGGGTAGAATTGTCGGCTCTTTCGCATCATGGATTGTTTCTCCCGAGCGTCACGGAGTGTCCTCCGGGCACCTTGTATGGCGGCCAGTGCTGCTTCTGATTCATGAGTGAGGTAGTTGTACTCTTCAATCTCCTCTTCGGTCATCCATGTTGGCGCTGGCGGTGGCATACCTTCATGCAGGAAGGCGTCATCTTCTTCATAATCTTCGGCGATGAGGGCTGAACCGCGGGTCTGATCCCGCTTCCTGAGGTCCTCTTCAGTCCAGTTCAGCTTGAGCGCTTCCTTCACTTTCTCAGTAGTGAAGCGATTCTTCAAGCTGGCGATGATGGTGGCGCGTTCAGAGCCATCAAGACCTGAACGCTGCAGCAGCATCCACGCCACGACGAAGTCTGGTAAGAACTTTTCGGCTTCCACCGATGCGTGATCTGATACATCGGCTTGGTAGATGTTCTCACTTGTCATGTAGTGTGAATTGCCTTTCTCCCATGACCTCTGGTCATTCCAGTGTGATAGCTGTTGTAGGATTAATCCCACCAACCATCATAGGACCACCATTGAGGGCGATGCCACTGTGGGTCTTCTTGTTGGGCTTCTTCGGTGGTGTCACCTTGCTCGGCCTCAGGCCGTACTGGATTGGATTCTCGTGGACTGTGGAACCCTGGTTCATCTTCTTCTTGATGAAGCTAGGCGGCAGCTGCACTTTGGTGTGACCTGGTGCGACTCTCTGATGACCTAAAAGCTGATGGCCTTCGGCTTGTGAATATCCCTTTCCATATTCTTCGATGGCCTCTGCTAGTGTCCTTCAAGCTTCGTAGAGAGCTTCATCGACAATCCAGGCGTTCATTGGCGTTCATACACTCCCCTTTTCGTCTCTTCACCTGGTAGAAGAACTTGGAGATCGTCTTGCCTGCTTCTGCTAAGGTCGGAGCTTGTACTCGTGTTCGTAGGAAAGCCAGCAACTCGTGAGCGCCCCACTCATGAGATATCCACCCCGGTGATTTGTGCTGGACTGCGGTCTTGGCAACTCCTTCCAAGACTGATTGAAGTCTTGGACCTGCAAGCGGTCTCTTCTTCCATTCCAGTGTCTCCACGTAGTTCAGCGCAGCTCTTTTGTATGGTATGTATAGGTCGGACGACCCGTCGAAGATGGGCACCCCATCTTTGCTGTACCTAAGTTCAGCCATGCTTGTCACCAGCGACTATGGATCTCCTCCAAAACGATGTCCCTGGATCTTCGCCCGGCTCCCCTCTTTCCAGAAGGAGCCGGGCTCCGCTACCATGCGAAGCACACGGGCGCAAGTACCCCTCGGAAGGAATTGTTTCTGTCCTTGCTAGGTGGGGCGCTTGAGTCGAGACGAGATCACCGAAAACGAGTGAGTTCGCGACCCATGAATGCAAATTCTGCATGTATATATATATATATGTGAATATAATGCGGATACATATACAGTATATATGCATACGGCAATAGTAGGCACTTGCTAGCATGTGCGGTGCATTTCAGGTTCTGTTTTGCGTTTATTGTTCTTGTCATGCGTCATGCGTGATGTATTTTTTTTTCGTCCTTGCGCAAGAGTTGCAACCACTGTGCAACTCAATTCAGCCAGCTCTGCAGGTCTGGGGAGGACTCACAGTCGCTCTGGCATCATTGCATCAGGGATCAAGTTTTGTTTGCCCTTTGGCGAACAAGAATGTCCGTGCAACACTTGGTGTAGGTCTTGGACATCACTCACCTTTAGTTTAGATTGTCACTGTTTCTTTTTCTAAGGCCCCGGGGGGTACTACTAAGCTTCAGTAGCTACTAGCTATTTTGCGCGCTGAAGGGTTCAAGCTTAATGATTTGGCACCTAGTGCCTGTTTTTTTTGGAACACCGAAACAGTATGGTCACATTATTTGTAGGAGTATGGTTTTGTAAGTACACTGAACCACTGAGTGTTGTTCATTGTGACAGTATGACGGTTGCAGAAAGCACCCACTTGATAGACATGATCAGGCATTTCCATGTCACCAAGGTAGAAATTTCACGTCTTGGCAGTTGTTCAGTCTGGACAAAACAAGTCAGAAGTGCATAATATCGCTAAAAACCCTGTTCAAGGGCTCAATCAAGGCAGACATTGATTTAGGTTCTGGCAGGTGAGACAGGTATGAGGCCTATATAGTTGCATGCCCAGGTTAGTGGATACTGGAGAGTATTTTGCGCAGCAATCTTGGCAAAAACTCCGTGAATGAATCCTCAACTACGCATAGCCCAGCAGTGGCTAGTTTTGATTGATGGTGCTGTTGGCAGGCTGGAGTTGGATCCACAACCGGACCGTGTGACTATGAAGAAGCGCAGTTGGAATTCTCAGGAGCGGGGTGTTTGGTGGTTGGCCAAACCTTGCCCAAAATGATCCAAAATGGTAGTCTTTGCAGGCGCAAAGCAGGGCGTTTCCATACGGTCCAATACGGTTCTGCTTATGTCACGTCATGTTAGTGCAACTTGAGGAAAGAAGTTTGCGGGAACCCTGTGCGAATCCAGGCTCTGCTTGAATGGTACCAGTTAGTACCCAGTTCTTATATGTTGTTTTTCTTTCGAGTCCAATGTCCAAGTGGCTAACAGCAGATGCAGGGATCGCTGTCTGATTTGAAGTCGAGGCCAGACCTTAGCTTAAATATGCTCAAACCAAAGTGATGGGGTCACAAGGGTTGTTGTTTTCTTCCTTTTGTTTATGTATAAGACGCGCAGATACACATTCTTACTTGTATGTGGGCCAGAAGCAGTTGCCATCTGGGCCGTGCTGCGACCGCAGAATGACAGTAAAAAACAATGCAAGAAACAATGCGCTCTTCATTGGACCCAGCCTGGGATGGTGTGCCTCTGATTTCAATGCAAAGCTTCACGTGACCATCACACCCTTACGCTCAGGCATTTTCTCGCTTCAGGGCGCAGGGATGGTGATCTCCTGCATGCTTTTTTGGACTGTGGCCACACACAGAGAGTGGATGAACCAGAAGCTGCAGTACGATGTAGTAGATGGGAAGTCCACTTCAACAAGCTGAATCTCTGAAGCGTTCGCTTATCGGCGGATCATTTGCATCACATTGACATGCCGAATCCTCAACAGACAGGAACTGGGTTTGTATTTTTAACATGTGCCCGGGGTGCCCGGTATATGTAGTGTTGAGGTGTCATGTTCGACTTAGGCCAAGCATACCCCCTCTGAAAATGCTACTACTTTAGTCTACGCACCGCACGAGGCGTACTCCGAAATACTCCATAGTCAAACATCCCTGCCCGGGAACGTCAAGACATACACTCCCCATATGATTGGTGAAGGTCTAAATCCTTCCAATTATTAGTCACCGAAACGTCTTACGCGCGGAAGAGGGTCAGACTATGTACAATCAGCCCGTTCAAGAGTTCGATGCATCCTTGGGATTCAGCAAAGTGGCCAGGGGATCTTCAAGATGACCTCGCTTTTGTCGGGGAGCCGAGTCAGACAACATTTTCTCTGCTCAAGCAAAAAACACAAACACTTTCTTGGGAAGCTCGACAATACCGCTTGGGAACGGGGAGAAGGGTTATTCAACAAGGTTGCTTATGTTGACTTTTCAACAAGCGGCTAGCGGCTAACACGCATCGTCGCAGCCAAAATGTCTCAATCGTAACACTAGTACTGGGAGTGATCAAGGCTATATATATATATATATTAATAACTATATATATAAGATATCTTTAGAGTTG